CAGAACAGGTGTCATCCCTCTGCTGGCAGACAGAGCTCACGCGGCTCTGGCGAGTGCTCCCTGGCATTGCTCTCCCTTGGTGCCCGCCGACCTCCAGCAGAGTGAGGGCAGCAGCACCACCTCCCCGTCATCGTCAGTGACACACTCATGGCCGTCACTTTCACTGAGAGCCCCGCATTGGGCTTGCTGTGCACTGTGGCTGCCCAGCCTTTTCACATTTGGAGCTGGTAACCAAAATCTCCCCCAACCTCACTTGCCACTTGGGTCCAACGGGAGGAATTTCAGCCATGTGTGATGTGTTTCACCAACTGAGTTGTCAGCCCGGCTCTGAGGTCCTTCTCTTTAGACCCAGGAGAGGAAACCCTAGTTTAACTGCTCTCCTCCCAAAATTCCCTCCTTTCAAGACTTGGTAAGCAGACTTTGTGTCTTTATCCAAGTCATTGATTAAAATGCGGAACAAGGCAAGACAGAGGTGAAAGTTCTGTGCTGTGCCACTCACTACAACCTCCTTCCAGGTTGTGGTGCCTGGTACCCTCTGGAAGGAAACTTCAGTGAGTCGTGGATCCATGTATCTCTACTCACATCCCTCTCATTCGCCCTGACAGATACCTTGCTCACTTCAGGTGAGAATTCAAGGTGAATGAGCAGCTCAGAAGACCAAGAAGGGGGCCGGGCGTGGTGGCTCATGCCTGTAATCCTAAGCACTCTGGGAGGCCAAGGCAGGAGGATTGCTCAAGGTCAGGAGTTCGAGACCAGCCTGAGCAAGAGCGAGACCCCGTCTCTACTAAAAAATAGAAAGAAATTAGCTGGACAACTAAAAATATATAGAAAAAATTAGCTAGGCATGGTAGCGCATGCCTGTAGTCCCAGCTACTTGGGAGGCTGAGGCAGGAGGATCACTTGAGCCCAGGAGTTTGAGGTTGCTGTGAGCTAGGCTGACACCACGGCACTCTAGTCTGGACAACAGAGTGAGACTCTGTCTCAAAAAAAAAAAAAAAAAAGAAGACCAAGAGGGGAAGAGTTGCAAGACAGTGGTGATCATCAGCGTCAGACCAGGGAGGAAGAAAACTGAGCAAAAGCCACAGGCCCCAGCTGGTCACTCCTCTGTTGTCTCACAAAGTGAGGTTTCAGCAGGATGGATAGTGGGGCAGGTATCCGAGGGGAGTGGTGGAGAGCTGCATGCACCAGTGCACCCCACTGCTCTGCAGATGCCAGTGACAGGTGAAGGCAGAGGTGACCTCTCAAGGATGGAGTGAAGCCAGGAAGTCTGTAGAAGGGACTGTCAAGTTTGGAACAGAGTGGGAAGTCATTGCCCCATCCAGGTCCCCAGGAAGGTGTGTGGGGACCAGGCAAAGCCCACAGAGAGATACAGGAAAAGAAAAGAATCAGGAACTGAAAAGAGAGACAGAAATGTAGTGACACGGAAGTTACTAGAAAAGGGAATTTGTGTCAAATATAAGGAGAAGCCAGGTGGTGGGATAGACTTTGAGTTGCATGATGAAGCTATAGAGTAGCTATTATAAGGTTGTCCACTTGCAAGAAATGGGTTCTGAGGTTCCTTTGAGCACTTAAATATATTTGTTCCGTGAAGTAGATTTGTCATGTGTAGATAAATTGTGTTTATCTAATTAATAGGGTAAAGCCAAACTGCATTTTAGCAATTTAATTTGAAAGTTTTGTCTTTGCATGCAATACTGAGAGTACACAGTGGAAGATGCCCAGTAGCAGCTACTGCATTGGAAGGAGGCAAAAAATACAGATGTTCCCGTGGCACTTTTCAGATCTCCATTGTGGCACTTTTCAGATCTCCGCTGTTGTGTTCACCACTCTGTGTTCAGTCATCCGCGTGTACGTGCATACCTGCCCCTACCATGCAGAGGCATTCAGGGAGCACGGACTGTCTCCTGCACGCTGGAACCCCTTCCACCCAGCCCGAGCCCGTGCCCATGCAGAGCACATGCAGCTCTTCCCCTTTAGTTCCAAGAGTGTAGCTCGTGACTAGCCAGATGTTCGAACAGGAAGGTTCTATGGTGGACCAGTTGTGTAGAAATTTAACAGGGAAGCTAGAGGTTGTAATTTTTTTCGCTAGAAGGTCCAATAAATCCCGATCAGAGGGAGCTTTCACATGTGCATTTGAATTTCACAGATTTTAAAAAGCGTGAGGCTGTTCAGTAGATCTCCTAATGAAAAAGTGCCACATTCTACCCACAAATTACTGAGTTTTCCTTATGGTCTGACTGTGAATTGGGTAGTCCTTTCCTGCCTCACCTACCAGTTCACTAGGATAGTTTTGCATAAAATACATGAATTGGGGCACTATCTTACAAGAATCCATGCGGAAAAGGTTGTAATTCATAGGATTAGGACATAAAAGCCCATGGATCAAGAAGGCGACCTTTTAAACCACAGGTGCAGTGGCTCAGCCAGTAGCTGCAAGGTGTAATTGTAGGTCAGCCGTGGGAAGACCTGTGTGAAAGTCACAGGGACTTTTTTTTTGTGAAAAGCCCAACAAGTCCCCGACTGTCCAAGGGCATTACTGGGGTGGGGGAGGGGCCTGCAGACACCACCCACCCCCACCTTTCTTTCCACAGCAGGTGGAGCTTTTGCTTCTGCTTAAATACAGGGGTCGTTTGTTCTCTAAACTCAAGAGCTCAATAGGTTGCAGTGAAATTCCTGATAAATCCTCACTTTCTGACCTCCTATCCCCACTCTCCAGAATCAGGAAGCAGGGAGGTTCAGCACACGCAGGGCCCGCACACCTGCAGGCGCGCCGAGCACGCCCTCCGAAGGCTCCTCTCGCGTTCCATGGGGCGCGCCTGGTCGGCCCCTTCCAGGGGTTCGGCCTCAGCGCAGACACCCAAGGGAGGGCTAACCAGACGGCCCAGGGCTTCAGGGGAGCCAGGCCTGCCCCCACGCTTGCATCGCAGAACGTTCCCGCAGCCCCCGAAGAGCCCTCGCGCAGTGGCTGTGACATCTAGGCCTGGGGGAGGCGGTGGAGGCCATGGACCCTCTTGGCAGAGATGACATTTTCAGGCTCGGAGGAGAAACCAAAGGCTTTGCGAATGGGTGTGCCATCTGCCTACCTTGTGGGTGCTGTTCAGAGCAGGTTCCACAGGTTTAGGTCCAACTCACCAGGCATTTAAATTACAAAGCAGCCACAAGGCTTACTTGACACGGAACACAATACACTCCATCCTCCGTATCCACGGCTCCACATCTTCAAGTTTAACCGACCGTGGACCTAAAATATTCAAAAAATTTTTTAAGTGACAATATAATAATAACAGTACAAATAAAAAATGTAGCATAACAGCTATTGACATAGCATTCACATTGTATCACGTGCTATAAGTAGAGATGATTTCAAGTGTACAGGACGATGTGCGTCGGTCATATGCAAATGCCACACCATTACAGCAGGGACTTGAGCATCTGTGAATTTGGTATCTGGGGAGGTCCTGCAATCAATCCTCCCTGAAAACTGGTGGTTGGCTGGGCCATTGCTCTCAGAATACGTTAAGATTTCACAGGAAAGCGGCGTGGCCTGTGTCTGTGGTGATCAGCAGTGGTTGTTTATGGAAACAGTACACTAAGAAGGACGTGAGCATCCGTTCCCGGGCGCTGTCCCCACACCCCGGGCATTGGGCTTGGCAGCATCAGTGGGATCAGGTGGATGGGGTATCTCTCAGCCACGGGCTGGGAGGACTGTGTGTCTAGCGGGACCAAAAGGAATGAGCAGAGGATGGTGGGAGAGGGTTGCGGCTGCCTCGGAGGCAGGAGCAGGAGATGGGATGAGCGAGCGTCCTGGTGTCCGAGGCTACAGAGCACATGTCGAGTAAGGTCCTCCAGAGAGCCGGGCAGGGGCACGTGGCACGTGGAAGCTGGGCTGCGGGCTGAGCCTGGAAGGTCAGAGGTTAGTGCTGTGGACAGGAGCCAGAGGGTGATTGCAGATGACTGAGATCATAAGTAAATGGCGGGGGGGGGGGGGATGATTATCATTGTCAGTAACAGTCGCTCGACAGGTGATGCCAGCGAGTTCACAGGCCAGGGCTTGGAAACTGCTAATCCAATGAGATGCATCTAGAATCCAGCTTAAGATGTCTCAAAGGTGATCTGTGACTGGTTACGCTTTTTGTAAGTGGCAGGGGCTGGGGGCTGGGAGTGGAGACAGGAATGGAGGACGAAGCCCGACATACATTTACAGTGTATCTTCCTCGGACCTCGCCCCGTGTCGACATGAGTTACACACTTTGTTTATCTAGCAGGAAAACACCATGAAGTAGGTGCCTTTTCCTCCATCTTATGGGTGAGGAACACGAGCCTCAGAGTCAAGGGTCTTGTCCAAAGACTCAGACGTGGCAAGTGGTGCCACGGGATGTAAACCCAAGTCCCTCTGTTCCCGTTCCAGACAGTGGCCCCCGAGCAGCTGCCAAGTGCAGGGCCTGCAAATCTCTGGCAAGGCCTTCTGAGTCTCCCGGGATCCCCTGCCCTCTCTCCATGTGGAAGTGGTGGGAATCAAAGGTTTCCTACTATAACAGGTCCTCCGCCATAAAAAACAGAGACTTCTGGCATCCTCTCTGCCACGGTGCATCTGTGGACCTGCCTACGGGCACTTACACGGAAATCAGAGCTGCATCCCGAGATGAGCAGCGCTAACTTACTCTTCATCCCACAGATAAGCATGGGAAGCTCTAAGTCACAAAGTTATTTTCCTGAGTTGCTTTGTCTGTGGCCAACACAGAGACACTGACACCACATGCTGATTGTCATTTTCCCTTGATCCCTGAGCATTGACTGAAACCTGGCTAAGCCGTGGTGGCTTCAGGAGCGTAGGGAGGAGTGTGCATTCAGATCTCTGCTGCCGTAGTCGTCCGGTCCCCGTGTGCCGCCAGCCCCGTGCAGGTGTGATTGAACCCAAGGGCACATTCATGGCAGAACCGGCAGAGGGGCCACTGTCTCAACAGAGCTAAACTCTTCATCCCCACCACTCTGTGTTTCAGAACAAGAAGAAAACTTCGAGTTTATCATTGTGTCCCTCACTGGCCAGACATGGCACTTCGAAGCCACCACCTACGAAGAGCGGGACGCATGGGTCCAGGCCATCGAGAGCCAGATCCTAGCCAGCTTACAGTCCTGCGAGAGCAGCAAGAACAAGGTGAGCCCCCACAGGTCGTGCGAGGGGAGTGGGGACCCGAGTAACACCTCTGGAGGGGAAAGTACATGACGTGGGAATGAACGAGAAGACCCAGCTGTTCTCGGTGAGAGAAAGCACAATAATCGGAAAGATGCACAATGCTTTGTGTCCACGTGTATCACGCCTCGTACGTGTCTCCTCGCTTGACCATGTTTCCGCTGCAGGATAGCCAACGTTAAATCTTTACTCAGTGTTAGATCTCACTCAGCTAATCCCAGGTAGAAAGCACTGACCTTTTGCTGCAGATGATGGAATCTTTTGGACTTCTGTGTCGTATGTGTCCACATTTATTTTTGTATTGGACAGAATACACTCAGGAAAGAGGTTAAGACTTAAAGGAAGCACTCTCATGAACAGTTCTCATCAGTGCCCCAAATTCAAATCCATGCCACGTTGGAAAACCCACTCTTGACGGACACTTAGATGAAAAGGAGATGCACGTGTATGAGCATGCAGGGAGTTTGGGGAAGATAAAACTTCCATTTTCTAAACTACCCACAAAGCCTAGTATGTTTTACTCAATAATTAGAGGTATTAATAATTCTTTTGCAGTTGTTTAGCCAGAAAAAAAAATATTTTAACCTGCGTTTTCTAGGCTACTGCCCAGTGATACTCCTTATACAAAAGTCATTTCTGCCCTCAAGGATTCCTTCAGTTTTATTATTTAATGCTTACATGTTTTTAATCCCTTTGCTGGGACAGTTCAGACTTTTGGAGAACATTTTGATTTTTCCAACTAGAAACCAAGGGAAAGGACGTTGCCCACCAACCTGAAATTTCATTTGTAACCATTTAAAGAAATTTCTGCCAATGGTTTACGTTCAGCCTTATCATTAAGAAGGGAGTCTGTCTTTCAGAAAGATAGAGTGTCTTATTTTATTACCCTCTTTAACCAGGGTAAACCAGACCACAGTCATTATTATTATGATGGAATCTGCTTCCCTTTTTAAAAGATGTTTTATACCCAAAGTAGGGGAACCACGGCCTTTCATTCCGAGCACGCTGGCTTTACAGGGTCACGTCCCCACGCAGCCAGGGCGTGGCTCCTGAGGCGAGCACAGGGCCCTTTCTGGGCTCCCTGTCGATGGGGAGCAACAACACGTGCCTGTCGTCAAAGCAGGGACCTCACTTCTGAACAGGGGCGGGGGCCACGCGTGGCTGCACAGACTATGGGAAAACCACAGTCTCTCACATCAGACTGAATCGATGCCACCTGGGCCTACTGAGGATGACCTGGGACGGCTTCAGACTCACCCAGTCCTTACCCTTGCCGGGCTCTTCCTAGCTCCAGTCTCAGCTGATAGAAACACTGGCCTTCGAATGCCACCCATTGGCTCTCACTTGATAAGCGTGTGACGAGGTGCTGCTTCTCCTGGGACACCTGGTCACCCTGGGCACCTGCTGAGAGGTGTGAGGGCACAAAGCACGTAAAGACTGTCCTCCAGGAGTGGCAGGAGAGCAAAACACGGGCTCAGTTGAGGGCTAGCTCAACGGTATTTCAGCTGCCTGTGGATAATTCAGAATTGATAGCAGGTGTAGACCTAGATAGACAAACCAACTCACCGGCCAACCACAGAAGTTACACAGGTACACAGAGCAGAGATGGAGCAGACAGACATATCCCTCCGTGTGTGCATGTGTGTGTGTACACACGAGTGCACTCCAGACCAATATACGTTGTCAAACATACTTTGAATACTTGGGTGTCTAACTAAAGGAAATTAAAACCCAATAATGCATGATGCTAAGTAGATAGTTGTAATTAATAAATGTGCTACTATGTCGTAAATAATAAATTGTCTCACATCAAATAATTTGATGAGATGATTCAGTTTATGAATAATTCTTACATAAAAATCAAGCTTATTCTAAGTGTCCTCTGAAATTGATCAAATTTTATTTGATCATAATATTAAATTCATATTTAATAAATAAGCCTTAAAAACTGTACATATCCTTTCACCTAGCACCTTGCCTTCCAAGGATCCATCCTTAGTAAATAATTGTGAATGTGTGTGAAAGTCTAGCAGTAAGTGTGTTCCTTCCAGCACTATTTATGATAGACGAAAATTGGAGGCAACCTAAATGCCCGTCAGAGAGAGCTTGGCCAGCAGGTCATCACTAAGTGGAATACTATGCAGCCATTTAAAATGTGGCCGGACACCGTGTGATGACATTGAGTGATAAACAGGTATCATTAGAAGAAAGGGGCAGATTCCCAAGCAGCAATATATGTCATGCTGGCTTCTTTAAAATACATGTATGTGTGTAGATGTGCCTAGAAAAAAGGCTAAAAGAACAGATATCAAAGTTTTAATCATGTTCAACTACAGATGGCCATATCCTAGTTTTTACATTTTTATGTTCTTTTTCCCCCTCTTTGTTTTCTAAACCTGCTGCAATAAGCATATGTTTTTAAAAGCCTTTTTCAAGACCATAAAGTATAAATTTAAGAATCAGTGCCCCCAGCCCACTCACATTTCCCCCTGCCCCCGCTCCCGCGAGTGACTCTGTTGCTGTGGCAACTGAGACAGTCTTCGCATGAAAAGTGACTCTCCCGGCCGAGACGTGTGGTGTGGGTAGGGTTTTCTGACGAGGAGCCGTGAGATATGTCTTACATTGCTGATTAAGCCCTGACCCTTGGCTTATAAACAGATTATTTCTTTCTCATTCTTTAGTCTTCATACCAAGTAGACACGGGGCAGTAAAGGGACGTTAACCAATTACCTTCTCGAGGTGGCGGTGGGTCTCCTGTTCGTTCACAAATCATCCAGAACCTACGTCTCTGCTCATTTCTGGCCGTGTCCATCTCAGCTGATAAATCCCGACACGTGCCGTCCCCCGGTGCGTGATGAGGTCTCCCTCGGTGACGCTCTTCCCTGAAGACAGCAGGAGAGGCGTGATTGAGAAGCTCCCTCGTCCTACGGTTACTCACGACCTGTTTGATTTTCCCCTGACGTTATTAGTAGCTATGTACGTTCCTCCCGGGGCTCTCAGACCTTACATTTGTGTGTCTTGCTCCCTGCCCAGTCCCGACTGACAAGCCAGAGTGAGGCCATGGCCCTGCAGTCGATCCGGAACATCCGCGGGAACTCCCACTGCGTGGACTGCGAGACCCAGAGTAAGTTGCGCGGCGGCAGGGCTCGGGCTCCGGGCGGGAGAAGGACGGTCCCACCTGGCCCGCATTGCAGCAGATCCACATCTGTCTTGTTTGGCAGATAAGGGTTAGCGCCTTTTAGGGAATTAAAGTATTTTCGTTTCGCATTTTATGTTAACACAGTAGCCTCCACGCAAGCCGCATCTGCAGCATGTCTCGGATCCTGATGGGTGGCAGTCACACCCCACGCTCGCACCCTGTGCCGTGTCTAGGAAGCAACCTTCTGCTTAGTCGATGGTCACTAGTTTGTTGTTCCATAAAAAGAGGGTACAGTTGGTTCACTCCTGCCCAAAGATTCTGCTTTTCGTGTTTTTTTAATTTCAAAATCACGTGTTCTGGGTTTTGCCATCAAATGATGTCAAAATCTTTTTTTTTTTAAATCTTAAATTCATTGCACACTGAAGCGTCGGATTGAACTGATGAAGTCCGTAATTACTGCTTTGGACTTTGAGCAACCCGGATTATTTCACGCTTTCTGCCGTCCAGTTCGTAACACTGCTTCCCCTCTGAGAAAGCTGCTCACATCCTTGAGGCTGGGGACTTGCTTTTCGCTCTTTAAACCCCAGCCCTGAGCACAGTGTTGGGGACATTCAGGAAACTTTTCCATTCGATTTTTTGGTTAAGCGGTGTTTGAAGGAGAAGGAACTGCAATTCACACGAGATAAGAGGTTCTGGCAGCAGGCGAGGTGCTCCCGGGAAGCAAACACATGTTACATGGTTGGTCAGCTGTCCTGGAGCCCACGGCCCAATGGCACCCACTGGCCCGGTGACCGTGAGGCCAGGTGCCGTGCAGAGGCCCGTCGGGGCATGGGCGGTGTGGCTCCGAGCAGGCTTCGTGTGCAGCTGACCTGGGAGTGAGGCCGTGGAGGTGGGTGGGACTGTGCGGTGGGCTGGCTGGAGGCCCCGTCCTGAGTAAGGGAGCAGATGCTCAAGCGGGAAAACCAGCTGAAGCCAGTGGGGCTGCAGGTGCTGAGCGAAGGATGTTGAAGCTTTGTTCCTCACTCGTAAGCACAGGGAAGTCCTTAGAGCCTCAGAGCAAGGAGAGGTTCCTGAGCCGTGCTTGGGGAGAGCCTGGGAGAGAGGCAGAGCGAGGAGGGCTGGCTCACCCCACAGGAGGGAGGTTCCCCAGGGAAGGGAGGGAAGGGAAGCGCCGCTCCGAGGCCCGCGCAGGGGCAGGGCAGGGAGGCAGGGGAGAGACCCGGAGTCTGTCTGCGGCTGCCACAGAGGCCTGTCCTGCGGGCGAGGGATGGGGTTTCATCTCCCAGTATCTTGAGGTACTTCTTTAAAGTATCTTCTTTGGTTTGAACTTCTAAATTTTACTTCATATGTGTGGCGAAATGGAGTTAGAAGAGAAAAGCAGTTATTTGAAGTGTGTTTTTATCAAAAAGTTTTCAAAGTAAGAGCTTTTTTAGAAGCACAAAATCTGAGAAATGTTAGGACCTCCATTAAGGGAAACATCTGCAGTTTTTTCCACTGTACGTCCAAAGATTCCTTTAAAAGGAACGAGTCCGTGGCTTACGGGAACCACGGTATGTGGCGAATTAGAGGTCGCGGGTCCCATCGGGGTGAGAGTGCAGGTGCCGAGGGTAGAGAGGAGGGCGGTGGGAAAGGGAGGCCAGCTGGGGGGAGGCTATGGGGACAGTTTATTTAGCATGAGACCATGTCACGTGGGCAGGTGTACAGAGTCGAGGGGAAAAGACAGAGTGTGACAATTCAGGAGAAAAAGGAGATGACAAGCGTACATTTGTTACACTTAGCGTTGTCCATGTCAGGCCTGTACCCGTGGGCCCCAGGCCGGCACACAGGCGGGGACTGGCCCCCCACCACCACGACAACCCCCCAAAGCCTACAGCAGGAGCACATCCAGCCTCTCATTTCTTCAGCCCGACCCACAGATTAACCTCCGTCCCGGTATCCTCGGGGTCCCTGCCCCAGTGCCACCTCTCAGAGAGCCTTCCCTGGCCGCCAGGTCTGACGTTGCGCATCCCTATGTTCTGCTCCCTGGTGGCCCCTGGCTCTGATGTGTCTTGCGGTTTTCTTATTTCTTGTTGCTCTGCCCCTGTTGCTCTACCCTCATCCTGCATTTCCGCGGGCAGCGATTTCTCCATTTTCGCTGCCGTATCCCCAGAAGCTGGTGCGTTGACACTGGTTGAACACGTGAAGGAACAGGTGTAAGTACGGCCAACACCTAACACCGTACGTCCCGTGTGACAGTCACGGCTCTAAGTACCTCAGCTTTTAGTCCTCATGACAAGCCCTTGGGGATGGGCATTGTTGGCCTCATTTCTCAGGGGGAGCTGAGGCCCAGAGAGGGAAGGAGACGTGCAAGGGGCAGGCAAAGGCAGAAAGGCCGGTGACAGCACACGCCCCACGTGGAGGCCCCAGAGGGCAGGGACCCCAGGGCTGTAGAGTCACCGCACAGGAAAAGGGCTGGAGCTAGAGAGGGAGGCAGGAGACGGTCCAGGGCTTCGGGGCCGTGCTAGGGGGCTGGGGCCAGCCAGGCTGAGGTTCTAGCCCCGGTGCCGAGACATGGTGGAGCATCCCAGTGAAATTCAAGGCGTGGAGGGGAAATTGCAGCTAGCGATGCTTAGGTAGCAGTTGCTAATCCGTCATGGTCCTCCGCCTGCTGGAGCAGAAGCCCCAGGCCCTACCCGCCTGGCGTAAGCTCCAGTCTCAGCTGCGTCCCAGTAGGCAGGGCAGTGGTGAGCCCGGGGCATGGCAGCTCTTCCGCCCTCAACACGTTTGCTTTCATGGACAGCTGAGTCCTGTCGCTCGAGCATGTCCCACGCGTGAGTGTCCGCCTTCAGATCTGGGCCAGGACCGTCTAGGCCTGCGCTGAGCTCAGAACAAGGGGTCAGCATGACTGGGCTGTCATGTCCGGACCATAACCCACAGCCGTGTAGAGGCCAGGGGTCTAGGTCGGAACCACATGAGAGGTTCTTGCAGCAGTTCCGGCGAGCGGCAGTAGGATCCCGGTGTAAGCAGTGACAGTGGGGACAGTGGGTAAGAGCGTTCACCACAGTGCTCTGTGGTGGGCTGCGGCGGGGATGTCAGGGAAGAGGAGGGGGGTGCAGTGGGGGTGGGGGAAGGTGGAGGATGCTGAGTTCAGCATTGACTTAGCTGAAAATACACCAGCTTGGTGTCCCCTGGGTCCGTACTGATACCTCTTGGGAATGCTCCTGTGACACATGGGCCTCCCCACGCCTCGGGCACTGGCACTAACCACAGGGCCCACTCCCCTCTTGGAAGGTCGGTCCCCCAGTGTGGGTCTGAGCATTTCCAGGTGTTTGCCGGCACCCTGGCGTGAATGGACACGAGGCCTTGGCTGATGTCGCTGACAGCAAGGGTGCAGCCCCACGGTCAGACTGAAGCCCTTTGCCGCTCCCCAGTAAACTTTGCCCCACGCTGGCCACCCTCGCTTCCCAGTGGCCCCTTAGACGTGTTCCCTGCCTTAGTCCAGCTACTCTTTCACTCACCTGGAAACCACGTGCCGTGGCCATCCCTGAGGACACAGAGCAAACGAGAACGCGTTCTCCAGCTGGGCCCCTGCCCTTCCTCAGGGAGCACAGCACCCTCCATGTTGGGTCTCCCGGGCAGAGCACAGCTGCCGAGAGACCATCAGCAGGGGGACCTTGCTTCTCTGCATGGGGCAGGCGGCGGGTGAGGAGGACCTCCGTAGGGAGGAAGGCTTCGGCTGAGGCCAAGAGATGAGTAGAAGTGGACCGGGCAGAGGGCTGGGGGTCCAGACAGAGGAGGGGCATCATGCACTGGGGGGTTGAGGAACTGCCGGTGCTCACATGAGACAAGCTGAGGAAGGGCGTTTGGTTCCAGTCTTGCCAGGAGGGACTTTGGACTTGATCTGAATGGTATACAGCAGCCATGGGTGGCTTTTGAGCAGGGACATGACAGGGACATGGTCAGATGTACTGTGTGTGACGGGCCCCTGGCTGCCACGTGGAGACTGGTCTGCAGGGAGGTGAGGCTGTTGCACCCCTATGGGGAAGGTGGCAAGGACCAGGGAGGGCACAGTAGGTGGAAGATGAAAGGGTTGGATTTGAGAGAGCCAGAGAGTGCTATGGTCAGACGTGGGATGACAGAAGAACTCAGGTGGGTCCCCAGGGCCCTGGCTGGAATAGCTGGGCGAGGGCAGGTACCATTTGCTGGCAGGAGAATTCAGGGCGAAGCGTGGACGGGCATCTGCAAGGTGCCAGATGGAAACGCATGTGGTAACTACTGTAGCTCGGGGGTGAGGAGGAGGTGGAGCGGCGGGCAGCTGTTAGCACTGAGGGTAAGCGAAGCTGTGGGTGGGGTGGAGTGTGCCTGAAAGAAAGTATAGAGGCAGAAGACAGGACCCTGCAGGACCCTGGGTAAGGGGCAGATTCAGGAGGAAGAGCTGGGGGAGAGATCAGGATGGAGCAACCAGAAGAGAGGGAGAAAGAGCCAGAGAGGCTGTCGGCATCGAGTCAGTGTCGTGAGGAGGGAAGCAGGCAGCGGGCCCCATCAGAGGTCAAGTGACATGACGGCCAGAGGGTGCCCCAGGTTTAGCCCTGGAGGGGCTGGTGCCTCGCTGCCCGTGTCCGTGTCTTGTGGTCGGGTGGAGGTGGGGGCCAGGCTGTGCGTGACCAGGAGTGGCGGCAGCAGCGGGCTGGTGGGGAAGCTGGCTGTGCGGGGTGTGGACGCCAGGCGAGAGCCCTGGGGAGGGGAGGTTCGTGCAAGCTGTTTGCCACACCTCCCTCCTCCCTAAATATGTCTCAGATGTTAAATAATCGCTGGTTTTCTGATTTCTGATGAACCGGCATAAGGCCATTCCCAGTCATCTGCCATTTGTAGAACAAAGGATGTCTCTCCCAGTGAGTCAAATGCGACATCAGCTACCTGGTGTTCTGTGGACTCTTCAAGTGTACCTGAAGTAAACACTGACTTCCCCTACATGAGTAAGCCTTGTTTGCTCCTGTCCGTGGGGAAAGCCACTGACTATCCAGGGCAACCCCATCTTTGCAGATCAGCTATAGATTCTAGCACAAGGTGAACCCTGAGCCCCAGTTCTTGGTCCTCTGATGATGCCAGATGGTTTCACACAGCAAATGGTCTGGTTCCCGGGTCCCGATGCCATTCTCTCAACTCCTTTGTCATCCCGCACAGTCCTGTGCCTGTCTAACATGGCAGCCTGCAGCACAGTACCACTCGTTCTGTAAGTCAGGGCTGGTGGAGCCGGGTGGTGACCTGAGCAGAGGACCCCGCCCGCCATTGCCAGCAGCGAAGGACCGAGAACTGGGCAGGAGTTGCTTCAGTAGCGATCCTCAAATAAGATGGCTGAAAACCGTATTCTTCATTGTGGCGTGCCTCTCCTCCATCTTTGAAATTCGCAGACATGCCCATTGTGAGCCTCATAAAAACTTGGATGTGCCCATGGAGGTGGTCTTGAAAGACACTATGGCTTGGGGAACGGCCAAAGCCGCGGTGTCACCCAGCTGTCCCTCACACCCCCTCCTGCTCCCTCCCACCAGCAGCTGTCCACAGTGGATGCCAAGTCACGTGGGACTTTTTCCATGTATGTCAGCGCTCTCCGGGTGAATGTGCTGTTCGTGTGTGGAAAGTACACTTTTCTGTCCAAACCGACATTTGCAATTGTTCCTTGTGTGGGAAATCCCAAGGCTTTGGCTTAAGCCACATTTTTTTGACATTACTACCAACCAGCAAATCTTTCAAGACACCTCGAGCAGCACTGAGTACTGGCCAGGGAGCCTTTTCAAGCCGCGCGGTTCTGGGGAGGGCTCGCCGGATGTGCAGTTGAACTGATGGGTGGTTTCGTTTCCGGGGACAGCTGCAATGAGTGATGATGGTCTGAAGGCAATTGGCGGTCCGTTCCTCTTCCCATAGATCCCAACTGGGCCAGTCTGAACTTGGGCGCCCTCATGTGCATCGAGTGCTCGGGGATCCACCGGAATCTTGGCACCCACCTTTCCCGAGTCCGATCTCTGGACCTCGACGACTGGCCGATCGAACTCATCAAGGTGATGTCGTCCATCGGGAACGAGCTGGCGAACAGCGTCTGGGAAGAGGGCAGCCAGGGGCGGACGAAACCCTCGTTAGACTCCACCAGGTAGGAACGTTGGAAGATGTGTGGCTCTGGGTACGTTTTGCCAACAATTAGACAACTGGAAATGACCTTAATGACAGCCACAGTGGGAATGGTCCTGGCAACCTGTAGGAATGCCGGTTAGCCCAGCATGGAAATGTCTATATTTAAAATTGGTCTTAAGCAGACGTGGATAATTCAAACTCTTTAATTTTTTATGTTTGTTTTTAGGCCTTGGGGATTTCTTTCCCCCTCTTAGAAATGTATTAAGCTTCTAACCTTATGAATATATTACTTTAATTAATACATTTCTAATAGGCATAAGCTGTGCTGTTAACACTAATGATGAATTTTTGATTCTTTAATTTTGTTATTCTTCAATCTTTGATAAGCATCTGTTCCATTGGTCCCCCGTCCCCCACCAACAAGTGACTTTATGGTAACAAAATATATTTTATTTTCTAAAATATATTTCTAACACATTTAATGAACCAAGTTCAGCATAATGTATGGTGACTCCTCATTAATGTTAATTGTTACCCAGTGTAAAAAACGCATTTATTTTGAGGCCATTTAGTTTCTCATTTTTCATTTACAGCTATTATAAACCGTTTTTGAGTACACATACATATTTAATGTTCCTAAGAGGTGATAAAATGGCGTGTCTTCAGAGAAGGCGTATTTCACAGCGGCGGGACGGGCCGTTTCATCTCTGTAGTTGTCTAAGGCACGCGGCTCCCAGGGCCACTCAGGTGCTGTGTGTGCTCTGTCTCCCGCACGGGAGGGGGTCTGAGGTTTGCTTTCGTGTTCACCTCCCAGGTGTGTGAAGAGATGCAGGGAGAGGAGATGTCTCCCATCATTAGCACTTTTTAAGATGGCTCTGGTTTGTTTTGCTGGGGATGAAATCAAAAGCAAGTTCAACTGGTGATGTTCTCGCTAAGCCAGAGAAACCGGTCTCTACCGCTGAGCAGCAACATGAGAAGAGTTGGTGACTTTAATTCATTAACACTGAAAAATGAATTTGTGGTGCCACCTTTGGTTCACTTTAGAGAATGAGGCTGACGGATTATTAATCTTGCTCTTTATTAGGTACCTTGTGGGGAGGGGGAGGGGAACGGGAGAGGTGCACAGAGTGTATTTGTTTAAAATTGTGTGGGTTTTATATGCAAGCTCTTTATAAGTTACACTGTATAATGGAAATATGGGTCACTGTCTCACAAACTGAAGAAATGATACACTTTAAAAATTATTTCTCTTGATTAGTTTAACACTAACATAGAAAGCAGCTGAGTCATCCAACTATGAGCATTCTAAAAAGATTAATTCACGTTTTTTTTCATAGATGTATCACTGAAGGATATTTGGGTCTGAAAATAAAAAATGATAGGTAATTAGATTGAGTTTAATGTAGGAATGCAAAAAACACTGAAATAAGTTAGAAAAAATTAACTATGCATCTTACTGTTGATGTATAAAAGAAACACATACCTTATTTTTAGTGTCATGAAGTAGAAAAGTTTGATCCATTAAAATTACAAACTAGAATGATTAAAAACGATGATGCAGGTTAATTTTTTAACTGATAGATATTTTATGTTAATTTTATTTTCATTCATAACTGAAGCCTGCACAGGTGTTTGACAGTTCTAATTTGTGTATTCGAATTAAGCTCTTGGGTGCACAACTTTCTCTTCCATCTGGTCTTGCGTACATCACATCTTTACATTTTAGAGACATATTTCAGAATCTTCCTTTCTCACACATGGAGTGTTTGCAGTTAAGTCCGTCTTTTCTCTGTCACACTGGCTTTCCTAAAAAGCCATTCTGAGTGGTAATTCCCCTCCAAATGGTGATGGTGATGTGGTTACGAGCGATTTCCGAAGGTAACTTTTGGGTTTCCAAATTCTCTTCTCTTCTAACAAGGTAAACATGTATAAGAATCGAATGTTTCTGTGCATCCTTCAGTAATTCTCTCAGGGAGTTTTGTTTTTAATTAAAATCAGCAAATATTCATTGAGCACTTTCTCATAGGGAAGAAACGATAAGTGATGATTATGAACTCTGCAGTGATTGGTGAACGTTCTCAGGGCCAGGGGAGGCTGCCAGGGCTTGGTAGAATTCAGAGAGCGGAGGGACGCTTACGGTAGGTACATCTCACTGCAGAAATGGCATCTGAAATGGACTCTAAAATAGGGACGATTTCCAAGGTGCGGGGAGCGGAAGCATGTCGGAGGATGGGCACGGCCTAGGCAAAGGCAGGAACAGAGTGGAACAGCTGGGGGGACCATGCACGTAGCAAGTCCCTCACCGTGGGGCTGGACCCTCCATGAATGAGGAGGAGCTGGGCTGGGCGAGGCCCTGGGAGGGCCTTTGAGCCAGGGGCGGTATCATGGGAGCCACCCTGGGGGTGGTGGAAGGGGAGTGGCTTGGTCTGTTGATGTGTTCTGATGGCCGCCTGTTCCCTAGAGGACTAATGGCAGCCAGCAAGGTCACTGGAAGGGACAGAGACAAGAGGCAGGAGGCCAGTTTGAAAGGCTGTGGTCCTGGTGGAACATGTAGGAGCCCTGGATACACTGTCAACAGCAAAAAACAACTCGGCCTAACTGAATAGTAGTGATTCAAGCACTGTCACCGTCACCGCCTCCTGCACTCGCCCTAAACAGAGACGGAGAACTGAAAGTCCTGGCTAGCGTTTCCGGGAGGAATTCCGGCCATGGTGTGAGAATGGATCTCTAGTGGGATCGGGCCTCTCTAAGCCACTCCCGCCCCTCCCCACCTTTAGTCTTGCCGCAGAACCTGTGATTGTTAGTAGAAACAGCTGGAAGGTTGTTTTAATGTGGCCCTGAGGTAATACCAAAAAGAAATATTTTAATAAGTTTTTGTCTCTATCCAAGGAAAAGCCAAGTGCAGTATATTCAGTCTAATTCTTGGAAAAAAGGCACAGCTGTTTTCCCGAGGAGCCCTAGTCCATTCCATCTTGTTCAGAAGATTCATTCTGACAGTGGAATACAATTAGAAATGTGCCATGCCGAACACACACGCACACGCACACGCAAGACCATGGGGACGTGGAACACAGCAGATCTTCCTCCAAAGAAACAACCAGTCCCCAAACCACCATGTATTGGAGTCACCCAGACCTGCAGGCCAGCGAGGGAAACAGGCGCCTTTGAACAGCTGGCTGGCCTTCTGCTTGTTGTCCCCGCACCCCTGATTAGGGCAGCTTCGGACGGCTTATAATTGGTTCCAGCGATTCTCAGCCGCCCTGAGAACTGCCGTTCAAACTTGAGCAGCACTGTGATCAATCGAAGCTGACGGCGGCTGAAGCAGTATTGACTTCCCATTCCTAAACAGGGGAATCATTAGTCAAGAAAAGCATCTTTTAATTACTCCTAGGAACGGGAAAAAAAAAACTTTTTGGATGGATTCTGCAACAACTGCCATTTTTTCCAGCACATTCGATATAAAATTTATTGTCGCAGGAGGAGGGGAGAGGGTGCCCTTTGTCCCCTGCTGTAATGGGGGTTTAATTTGGAGAAAACAGCACATTAGGGGAGAGATCGATGCTGTAACAATTAACTACATCTGGGGTGGAATCAGAATTCCCCTCTCTAATTGCTATTGATACCATTTAAGCACACACTTAAAATATTGATTTGAAGTGAGAATGTAGAAGTGGTGTAGAGGTAGTGACGGTGGACAGAATTAACTAGATTCTAGGGGTGTAAGGAGGGGTGCAGTTTGCTGTCCGTGGGGCCAGGACCTGGCGACACGCAGCTTGTGCCTTTGTGTGTTGTGTGTTCCATACCATAGTGTGCTGTAGAAAGTCCAGCAGCTGGGCCTGGCCTCGCCAGGCTGGCAGGCCTGTGGGTTCCAGGGTCAGGACACATGGTGTCCCCGTAGGGAGAAGTCCCCAAGCGCCTTCGTGACCCTTTCAAATGCGAAAATAATCAGCTCAGAGGTAAAGACGGTACAACAGTCAAGTGAGCATTGTCTGAGTGAATGAAGAATTGGGCAAGCAAACGAGTGAAAGCCGGGACTGCCTATCCTGGAACCCACGTCAGTGCTCCTGTTACATCAGGGCGTCGGGATCCCTCGTGTGCTCATGAGCAAAACTGGGGCTCTGACATTCGTGGCACCAGCGAAGCCATCTTGACAAACCTGGCTGTGCGTCCAACCCCCCTCGCCACACAGCGGTGTTTCGGGGCTGCATGGCAGCGCCGCAGCCGATGTTCCTTATTGTCATCCCGTTTTGCTCAGAAGCTTTTTGGATCGACTGTGCTGAACACAGTGTCCTACAGGATGGGCAGAGCCCCCTGGTGCCGCGTGCCTCTTGGCAGAAACCGCACTCGCCTGAGCTGTGCTGTTCTCCCTTCATCTCCCACCTCTGCTCGGGGTCAAGGCGTCTGGCCTACGAGGTTCTGCCAGGACTAGTTGCTGTTTGCATTTTGGCAGGGGCAACCTGTTTACATGGCGGTTTGGGTGCCTGCTGCTTTGGGCCAGGCAATCAAAGGGACCTGGGAGTGGGGAACTGTGTTTTCAATTCCGTGAAAGAGCTCTTGAGAGAAGCTCTAAGCGCAACTGAAGTCACCCATTACCTCTTTGATGCCTCTTGGAAGGGAACCGAGTTTGCTGATTTAGTACGCATTCTTTTCCCCTTTTTAGTATCCTTTTTCTTTTTTTTTATTTGTAAGTTCGTCCCCGTGCCTAAACTCCCTTCTTGCCTCCAACCTATAAAAAGATGTCGCCTCCGATAGGAAGATGTGGGGCCCGACATCAGAAACCTGCGTGGGAGAGACTGGCCGTGCACTTCCAGATGGAACAAGTCTGCCCAGTGATGTGAGTTCCGTCCCTTTTTGATTCCGGAACTCCACTTTCATCTTATTTATGCGCATGGAGATATTGATAAAGGGGAAATGTATCCAAACTGAAAATAATTGGATCCCTGCAGCTATCTCTGAGATATTAAAAGCAGTACCACTTGGCTGTGTCTTTGTCTTGTTAGGTTTGATCATAAGATCACA